AACACTTGTAGCATCTAATTGGATTTCCATCGTCACAATTAGACGCCTGGAAATTCAAAATATTATTGGAAGCTTCATGACTGACTATTTGACTCCATTTTGACCAACTCTAAAGACTCAAGAAGACAGGATGCGAAAGGGCAGAGAAAATAACGAGGTGGGGAGAAGATGGGACAAGGGTGTTACTTATTGCATCGACGTGAGGGTTCGATTGGTGGTGGTTTTGTGAAAATATGATGTTAGTGAACTACTTTTTATACGATTTATCATAAATCTTTTCAGTTATTCAAAAACTAAATTATAATCGGGTATCATATGTGAATAGTAAAATGGAATATGCATGACTGAAATGACTCTTATATATAATTGTGCATTTATATTCGTTTTAGATGCATTTCTTATGCAAATAAAAAACACTTAATGGTAAATCATATAAAAAATAGTTTAATGACTAAATATGTAGACAATGGTTTTACTTTTGGTAATAATTGTAGTTTTTGAACGGTTGAAAAAAATTTAATAGTAAATCATATAAACACTTGTTAATTGACTAAATATGTACACAATTGTTTTAATTTCGTAATAATAGTAGTTTTTGAACAATTGAAAACAGTTTAATAAAAAATCATATAAAAAATATTTTATTGATTAAATATGTATACCAAACATGATACATTACAATCTCAAGTCATTAATCTTATCCATGTAATTAAAATTTAATCATCTTTTTAAATAAATAAGACAACCGATATAACCTATAACATCCTATCACAATTTTAATTTTGGAAAAACTAAACAAAATATAATGATAAATCATATAAAAGTATATTATCATTTGTATCGTTAACCTTTACATTAATCTTTTAGAGGTGATGGGTCCAAAAAAAAATTAAATTTTTTTGAAGTATTTTATGTAATGCCTAATGGATATTTGGATTATTACGTTTGCGATTGTAATTTGTAACCAAATAAGACCAGGAACAATTATTCAAGGAAGAATATGATAAAACCCCAAATTGGAAATCGACACAAAATTGAAACTATTTATCAATAACACAACCATTTGCACACTGTGACTGCGGTCTCCTCTTTTGAAGTCATGGCGTTTGGACGTTAGATCCTTTAGACCTGTTATCCTCCGAAGAACCCCGATGCTCCGATGAATCCGACGATCGTAAATCAACAATCATCTTAACAACTTCCTCCATTGAAGGTCTATTATCTGGAACCCTAGTCACACATGCGAGCCCAATCTGAAGCATCTGCACCATCTCTTCTTCAACATGTGGGTACCTCATTAGCTCCTCATCAAACACCTCCGCTGTCCATTCTTCTCGAACCACCGATCTCACCCATCTCGGTAGATCAACCACCTCCTCATGCCCCGACGGCAGCGGCGATTTACCTGTTAAAAGCTCGAGAAGCAGGACTCCGAAGCTGTAAACGTCGGATTTATGGGTGAATTTTCGTGTTTCTATCACCTCCGGCGCACAATAACCGATGCACCGAGGTTTTGTGGGGAGGACGTTAATTAACGGAGCTAAGCCGAGATCTGATACGCAGCCGTCGAAGTCTGTGGTGAGAAGGATGTTGGAAGATTTGATGTTTCCGTGAGTGAATTTTGCACCTCCTTCTGAATGGATATGTGAGATCCCTTTTGCAGCTCCAAGTGATATCTTCACTCTCGTCTCCCAATCTAATGGAGTTCTTCCTATACCTCGATTTCCTGTTTTGAAATTAAAAATTAATATTCCATTATAATTTATACACAAATAAATCAAAAGTACATTGCTTTTTTTTTTCTTACGTACCATGTAACAGTGAAGATAGGCTACCAGTTACCATATACTCATACACAAGAAGCTTCTCGTCCTTAGAATAGTAGTAAGCACATAAGGGGACAATATTCGGGTGCCTTCCCACCCTTCCTACAAACTCCATATGCTGATCAAACTCTTTTTTAGCAACACCAACTTCTCTCACTCGTTTTACCACAACTATTGTTCCCTCATCCAGAATAGCCTTATATGCAGTTCCATAACTACCCTTCCCAAGTACCTCAGCTGATGCCCTCAACAAATCCTCAAGATCAAAGTTATAACTACTCCCTTCAAAAAACACCAACTTGTTCTTCTCTCCAGCTTGCACCCCACTCCCGAAATCATCCGATTTTTCGTTTTTCCCTGGAGGGACGGCCTTTATCGTCAATTCACCAACCGAATCCCGGTCTTTTTTCTTCAAGAAACAAAACAAGAGAATTCCAAGTAGAAGGATGAGTAAAAAGGATCCGATAGCAATGGCTAGGATTGCTCCGGTTGTGAGTTTTTTGGTGTGTTTTTTCGGGCGTAAGGCCATGGATGGGGGCGGGACCGGGCATGGATTCAACGGGGGCCCACATAAGAGTTCGTTCCCGGAAAATGAAGAAAGCGGGAAAGTTTGGAGGGAAGACGGGATTGAACCGTTGAGTTGGTTATGGCTCACGTTTAAGAGACGGAGTCGGGTGATGTTGAGGTCGGGAACGGGTCCCGAGAAGGAGTTGAATTGGAGGTTGAGGGAGGTGAGACGGGTGAGGTTTTTTAGTGTTTCCGGGATGTTTCCTGTGAAGGAATTGAAGGAGAGATCTAAATTGGTAATTTGGGGAGAAACACTAACAGGGATTTCGCCAGAAAAGTTGTTGTTTTCAAGGTAGAGAAACTGGAGGGAGGGAATGGAGATGATATCAGAAGGGAGAGACCCGTTTAGGAAATTGGATCTTAGGCTCAAGATTCTGATGGAATCAAGCTTTCCGATGGTATTGGGCGGAATTGGACCGAATAGTCCATGACCCGGTAGATGAATGGCAATAACTTTAGTTCCCTCATTGTTACAAGTGATTCCAACCCAAGATTTGCAGATTGGGATTGTGGAATTCCAGTTTAGTTGTCTTACGTGTGGGACCGATGAAGCGAATTGAAGAAGAGACTGGGCGTCACTGCTGATGTCAGCGGTTGTTTCATGAAGATTATGAAGTAGGAAGATAATGGTGGCAACCGCTAGAAATTGGAGTTTTTTCATTGTGGATGTATATATATATATGTCAACCTACATAAATATGAAAGGAATTTGGAAATAAGAGTAAATATTAGCAAACCATTATGCAAAAAGAAGGCTTACTTCTATCATTAATGACATAAGTAAGAAGTTGCATAAATTAGAAGATTAAAGCAATAAAATTGAGATAAGGAGGGAAAGAAATAGTTGGTTACCTTGGAAGAGGTGGAGGATGGAAGTGACTATGCCATTGATGAAGGTAAAGCTTGAAGCTTTGGTAGAGACCAGTTTCTATTTCATCAAGTTCTTGACTTCTCCTATATGGGAAAAAGCAGAGGACAATTATTTTAGCTTTAGCTTTTCCATTAGAAAGTGGAAGCTTTAAATTTCAAGAATAAACAATTTCAAAGAGATAAAAGAATCATTTCCATAGAAACATGATAAAGGCAATTCAGATATTTCTCATTCATTCAAAGATTTGCTGGTTATACAAAAGATTAACAAGTTACAAACGTCGACAACACATATATCCAATGTTAATTTAATAAAAAAGGAAATCATAATAGAAGATCATGATAGTGAAGAGAGAGCATCTAAAACCTTAAGGAAAGAAGAATCACTGAGAAAAAAAAAAAGAAAAAAAAAAAGAAGGAAAAGCAAAAGCAGAAGCACACTCCTTTCTTCTGTAAAAGGTGAATAAATTGTTGGTTATAAAGGTATAGTAAAAATAATAAATTCAAGCATCCAATGCAATAAATCCTCTTTGTTTCAATAAAGTGTAGGCGTAGTTAAGAAAGAGTGCCCATATTGTATGATGCATTGCCTTCACAACTCAATTATTCGATACCAACACACCAGGACAAAAAGTGGAGTAATCAGGCGTGCATGTCTCAATGGGACCAAAACTGGAAACAAAGTTGCTGACATAGTCACAGACCAAGAATTTGCATCATTTTATCATGTTCTGCATTTTGTAAATAAATCGAGTAATTTACTGTGAGTGTGAGATATTCATATATATCATATTAATACCAGGAAAGCACTAATGAGTGTATCCTACAAAGTGCTAATGATCTAAACAGACCACCACTGAAACAATCGTCGAGTATAACCTTTTTCTTATTATTATAAACAGCTACAATACTTGATAGCTCCTAAAGTACCATTTTCTGCAACTGTACGCTGAAGTCGTGTAATCTTATATCTGTTAACAAGCACAGAGGCCACTTCTGAATTTTGATAACAAGTTCACGATGGAAGAACAAGAACCACATAAAAGGTATAATAATTAATGCATATAGTACAAGGTAAAGAGTACAATTTCGTGTTAGCTTGGCTTTGAATAAAGTTATGGATCCCCACAAAATGATTCTGATACTCTCCCACCATCACATCATGCAATCATGCATTGAGTTGATTAGGATGAGAACAAATTAGGATCAAATTTGTTAATTAGGATCCACAAATTTGTTATTTAGGGTTTATATCAAATTGGACCGATCTTAAATTACTGAAACAAATTGGAATTCTTTCATCTGGTCTTGTTGATACATAACCTAAAAAGTAAGACAAGTTGTTCATCATGAACAATGAGAGTTTATAATCTGCGTTCAGCTTAGTAACAGTATCAATAGATATCTGTGAAGTGTTGAAAATTTATCACTAATTATTATTTCTCTACAAGTAATTCTGTTATAATAGATAACTATTCGTAGCATCACAAGAAACAAAATCTTTGTTTCTTCCGATCTCGAAAACAACGAAGAATGAAGATATCAATGACAATAATATATACATATACATCTACTTAGGTTAGTACTGAAGTTAGCATACTCTTAATCATCTCTATTTAAGTCATGGCAACTTTTAGTACTTCGTTCGTTGGATCAATCACAGACGTAAATAATGTCAGATCTTCGTTATTTGTCCACAAATTGGCTGATTCTTCTTTCTATTTTTTTGGTCAGAAGATGCGATTGGCAGCGGTGTCGACGGTGGTAGCGATGGGTGGAGGAGCAAAGTTTAAGGGGACGCATGATAGAGAGATGAAGCTGACGGAGATGATAGAGAAGAAGGTGACGGAAGCGAAGGAGGTGTGCGCCGGTCATGAAGGCTCCGATGAATGTAAGGTGGCGTGGGACGAGGTAGAAGAGATTAGTCAGGCGAAAGCTCATCTCAGAGTGAAGTTGGAGCATGAAGAAGATCCTCTTGAGTCGTTTTGCTCTGGAAATCCAGAAACGGACGAGTGTAGCATTTACGACGATTGATCGGAGAAGAAGTCTAACGCCGACAGCGACAATTCATGTGTGCACTGGCTGACTGTGTGTTTGTAGTTTGAATTTTCTCTTAAAATATAAATCCTGTAAACATATGGTTACATGTATCTTTTTTACTGTACATGATATAAAAGAACTTTACCAAAATGACCAATAGCCTAGAGTGACTTTTTTACTGTAAACATAGGTTAAGTCTCGGTGGAGTATGTTAGTTACCTTTAGGGCCGGTCCAATGAGTTTTAATGCCGAAATACCAAAATATGCTCTTTTAGCTTTTTATATATATATATATATATATATATATATATATATATATATATATATATATATATATATATATA